CTTATGCTACTAATAAATTTGTTAGTCTCTAAGGTGCCACAAGTACTCCTGTTCTTCTTTTTGCGGATACAGACTAACACGGCTGCTACTCTGAAAACTTTCAATTTTGCAACACATAAAAAGGTAATTACTTTGTTTCCTTTGTTTTATAATAGCAGTAATGACTGAGGTCAGATATTTCATGGCAGGCCATGGTTAAAGTGCTCTTCATGTTAGCCTCAGGTCCTCAAACCTTTCATATTCTGTCAGTTTATTGCCCCTCTGTGCACACATGTCCCTTCTTGGCTGTTTGTTGTGTAGCATTTCCGGAGCTTCAGGGAAATTCTCTCAAGCAATGTTTTTGTGCAGTTTCAAATCTTTCAAAAGTGAAGAGTTGTAAAGAATATTATTGCAGGTGTTTCCGGGGTTCCCATCCCTGTATTATCTCAGCACCTCACAAACGTCAATGGTTTTGTCCTAACAGCACCGCTGCGAGGGCGAGAAATTATCATCCCCACTTTGTAGGTGAGGAACTGAGGCAAGGAGAGATCAAGTTATTAGCCCAAGGTCATTCAGATTCAGCGAGGCCAGGATTTCAATCCCTGAAGTCCCAGAACAGAGCCTCATCCATAAAGCCACCCTTAGTTCTGCCTGTTGTTATAAAGTGAAAAATACCGTTAGTGTTGGTGATGCTGGAGTCATGAAAACTGGGTGCGTATGGAGACAATGGATGGCTCAGGGGAGTGGCAGTGGGGCAGTTAGCCGCTAGTTAACTGGTTTGAATGCAGTACAGGTTACAGAAGAGCACAAGTCATTGATGTCTGATAGCTGTTCATTGCTTATGTGGAACGAATTTGCAGTCGGAGGCTAGGTCTACATTACAAACCCTACAGCTGTAGCACCGCTGCTGTGCCTCTGTAACACCGTAGTGTAGCCATTTACTGCAGTGACAGACAGGGTTCTTCTGTTGACCTTGCGCTGTCTACACTGGGGCTTAGGTCAGCTTAACGACGTCTCTGAGGGGTGTGAATTTTTCAGACCCCTTAAGCGATGCAGCTGGGTTGACTTAACTTTCTAGTGTAGACTAGCCCTCAGTCTCCACCTCGGAGACCCACCAGAGCAGCTGGCCCTACCTGGCACCATTGGCATTCCTGGACGCAGAGCCTGGGAACCTAAAAGGACAAGACAACTGGAAACCCTCACCCTAAATGCCAAGGCTGAGACACGTTGGTGGGGAAGCTTGCAATGCCGCTGCTCAGCCTGTACCTGTCATATGGACAAAAAAATTTAGGCTGGGATTTCCTAGAGCCCATGGGAGTAGGGTGCTCAAATCCCATGAACATTCACTGGCAGTTGGGTTCCTAACTCCCTTGGCTACTTTGAAAATTCCAGTCTCTAGAGCTTTCAATCTGATTAATAGACTTACTGTGTTTGTATGATTTACTTAGCTCAAGGAGCTAAACAGTGGTGTTTCGTATGGGAGGGCCATCCAGAGACCACAGCAGGGGGAGGATAAGGTGGGAGCACTGGACTGGGACTCAGGAGACCCTGTCTCTGTTCCTGGCTCTGCCACTGACCTGCTGGGTGACCTTGGGCAAGCCAAATCCCTTCCTGGTGCCTCAGTTTCCCCATCTGTAAAATGGGGATAATGGTACTGACCTCCTTTGTAAAGCACTTTGAGATCTATAGTCGAGAAGTGTGATGTAAAAGTTGGGTGGTATTATTGTTTCCACTAGGGCTGCTTGAAATTTGTTTTGAATTTTGACCAAAAATGTCCCGGGGGGGGGAGTTTTGCATAAGCTTATGCTGTTTTTTAACCAGCTCTACCCTTCACCTACACTTGAGGGACCTGATCTATCTATCCATGGTGCTTAGAGGGCCCCATAACCATAGCATCTGAGTGCTTTGTTATCTTTACCATAACTATCCTCACAACATCTTTGTGAGGTGGGGCAGTGCTATTAATGCCGTTGTACAGATGGAGAACTGAAGCAGCACAGAGAGGCTAAGTGACTTACCCAAGGTTACAGGGGAGTTCTGTGGCAGAGCAGGGACTTGAATTCAGGTCTCCTAAATGCTAGGCTAGCACTTGACCTTCTGCGCTGTTCTGTCTCTTCTTGAGCCAGCTCCCATTGAAGTCAATGTTGCCTTCCGTGGTGCAGGAACACACACCAGGCAGCTCTGTGGAAGTGAAGATCCTGGATTTGGGTCTGACCTGGTTGTTTCTCCATTGGCAAGAGGTTGGGTGGGGAAGCGGCTGACTCACCGCCCTCTTGTCACCCCCCCTGCAGCGTTCAGGCACAATGAATGCCCCGATCCTGGGGTGCCCGTCAACGGGAAGCGGTTCGGCGACAGCCTCCAGCTCGGCAGCTCCGTATCCTTCCTCTGTGATGAGGGCTTCATAAGAACCCACGGGTCGGAGACCATCACCTGCATCTTGAAGGAAGGCAATGTGGTTTGGAACAATGCGGTGCTGAGATGTGAAGGTAAATCGCTGTTTCCCCTCCCTCCCCAACCCCAACCCCAACTCCAACTCCAACGATGATTTAGAATTTGTTTTGGATAGGAGATTAAATACATGGATAGGAGATTAAATACATACAAATACACTAAATACATGACTTGACTCTGGCCCTGATCCAACAAAGCATGTGCTTAACTTTAAGCACGTGGATAGTCTCATTGAAGAACAGGGGCTACTCATGTGCTTAAGATGCTATGCTTTGCTAGGTCAGGGCCAAAGGGCTTAGCAAGTTGCAAGATCAAACCCTGAATAGATAATTTAATTGTGGGAGGGGGTTAGTGTTAGAGAGAGAAATCTCCCGCTAGTGGCTGCAGCCTAGAGAGAAGGAAGGTATTACTACTTCCCACTGATGCCCCAATCCTACAAAGCTTCCTTACGTGCCTTGCACACTATGAAGAGCCCCAATGACATCAAAGGGCACCACACCATGGATAAAGCAAAATTTATGCATAATTCTTTGCAGCACTGGACCCTAAAGGAGATTTCTGTTCTCTCACACATAGAAGCTTGTGTTATTTCGATCTGAAAGACCAGGGTTCTAATCCCCAGCTCCACGTGTGATTTATGGACCATTGGACTCTTGTCTGCACCCTATAGTTTCCTTAGAAACTTAAACAAACCAAATAATCACTGAGTGATTAATTCTGTGACTTTTTTTTCAAATAAATTATGGGATTTTTTTATTAATTCAGATCTGTCTACAACAGGTGTTTTTCTTCACACACACACATACAAACAAACACAAAAAGCTTTGATTTGCTAATAACAAAAATAAAATTCTTTACCACAAGTCTCATGGTGAGATGTAAAGAAAAGAAAAAGGAAAGTGTTGAAATGCATTCCGTTTCATTTCTTTTTTTTCCCCTCCTGATTTTTGAGACCAAAAATCTTATGTATTCTTCAAATAATAGAAGAAGCAATAGGCCTTTGCAGTGAAATGAACAATGAATTTCTTGCTATAGAAATTCAGACCTGTCTGTGAATCTTCAGTATATCAATGACTGCATCAGGCCCCCTATAATGAACTCTGGAATTAGATGTTTTGCAGTTACATCTCCATGCCAATATGTCTGACGACAGACAGATACACACACTCACACTCACACTCACTCACTCACTTAATTAAAGGTTCTGATTTGGATTTCAAAGCAGCTCCTGGTGCTTTAAAGTTTCCAGTGTGGAAAACAGAAATGAAATGAAAAGAGCTTGTTAGAAATTAAAAGGCCTCTTTCCCTCTCTGTTCTCGGAGAAGAGATGCCAGGAAGTGATATTTGCAAGCGTTTGAATTACAGATGTGCTGAAGTATTGAGAAATAATTTCAATAATTGGCCATCCGTGTTTTAATGCCAGTCTGCAAATAGCATGGAGGATGCTTTGTCTTTTCCATTAAAGGGAGAAGAGGGTACTTGCTGTCCAGAATGATTGTAATTCAGTAGGAGACTGCTTTTTTTGGTTTGTTTTTATTTGATTTTTGCAGGGAATTGGCAAATGAAATATTTGTGGGGCTGGCTCAGTACTTCAGTTCCCTTTGTGAGCCTGAGTGTTTAACTGCACACGTCTCTAGCTGGTCGAGGGAGGGGAAATATATAAATAAAATTATATTTTTATCGACTTTTATCTGTGATAACCCAGCTCTATTAACTTGTACTTCTCTGTGCGTGATCTCTTGGCTTGCCTTTGACTTGCCCTCCAGTATGTGCTCAATTAAATGCAAATTCTAATTAGTTCTTAAAAAAGAAAAAGGGTATGTGTAAAAGTGTAGAACAGCTTGTCTCTCTCACCAACGGAAGTTAGTCCAATAAAAGATGTCACCTCACCCACTTTGTCTCTATGAAATACTGTTTGGTGTCTGGAAAACGACTAGACAAGAAGTCCATATCTGAAAAAAGAGCATCTTCTCCCACAAAACCAACAAGGTAGACAGCAGGTGGGAGGTTTGGGAGGCACTGGAAAGTTCATGTGTTTTGAGAAATGGATTTTTGCTTTTGGATCACTGATTAGGACCCAGCGTGGGAAGGGCTGATCCCATGCCCTGTCAAATCAATGGCTCAGGCCCTTGGGGCCAGACTTGCAAAGGCAGGTAGACGCCTAGTGGGGTTTACTAAAGCATGTGAGCAAGTTAGGCAGCTAATGTTCGTTGAAAGCCAATGGGAATTCGGCACCTAACACAAATAGTCACTTCTTAAATTCCCACTGGGCCCCAATCTGCATCTGTAGGTGCCTAAACACCTTTGTAACTCTGGTCCTTAGTGTCTGAGAGTCATTACCGCCTGGTAGCTGTTTGTTGACCTGTGGGAAGTGAGTTTGTTGGGTCTCAGCCCTGGTGCCCATTTCGTAAAGCCGCTGCCACAGCTGGAACTGACTGAAGGCTTTGATGGCTGTCTCAACAGAGAGAGGTGAAGTCCCAACTGGGCCGTGAAGACCAAGCTGTCCTCATGCCTGCAGGGCAGGTTTGAGGCCTGTAAGTTGGGGAGTATCATGGGGAATCTTGCATAAGTAGATTTCAGCCTCCCAGACTGTCCACTTTCATGAGACCTAACTTCACTGTGAACATAAATTATTGACCCTAGCAGTCTAGGAACTGATATGTCCTACATCAGCATACTTACTGTCTGCAGGGGACTCAAGGGAGTAAACTCGGCTAATTAAACCTTTCGCCTGATTCCTGTGTCCTCTTTCCCCAGCTCCGTGCGGTGGCCATCTGACTTCTCCGAGTGGAATGATCCTGTCCCCGGGCTGGCCTGCCTTCTACAAGGACTCCCTGAACTGTGTGTGGGTGATAGAAGCTCAGCCGGGATATCCCATCAAAATTACATTTGACAGGTGGTCACTGAGGATAAAGAATAGCATGGCTTCTATTAACCAATACTGCATGTGTGTCTGACCCTGTGCTCACTGAAGTCAATGGAAAGATTCCCACTGACTTCAGACAGGTCCTTCATCAAGCCTTATGTCCAGCACTAAAAAGTAGCACTTATGAGTTTTTTGTTAAAGTCAGGCAATTTATTTTGCACATTTTTTTCAAAAATTTGCATAACAATCCAGAGTTTTTGTGTGATATGTTCCCCATCATTCAACCAACTCCACAGTTGGTTAATCTCCCCCCCCCCCCAACCTTCCTCTAAAAATGTGAAATTTTGAAATTGAAATAAATGAATAAATCAGAAAAGTTTTTTTTTTAAAGGAAATATTTCCCCTTTTTTCAATCAGCTCTCCTTTCTGTCTATGAACTAATCCTCACCACAGCCCTACCAGCTGAGTAAATAAGTATTCTTACCTCCATTTTGCAAATAGGGGCACTGATGCCGAGAGGTCATAGGGCTGCAAATGGATTCAGGGCCACAGTCAGATATGAACCATCAGGCTCCTGTTTCCCAGTTCTGCACTCTGACCACCATTTGCTAAAATCTAGACAGCATTGAGGATGTGTCAGCCAACTGGCTCGGATGGCTAAAATAAGAACTAATCTACATTTTGAGCCAGAGCTAAGAACATGTTGAGCTGTTTCTAACTTTCACACTTGGGGGGAGGGATAGCTCAGTGGTTTGAGCATTGGCCTGCTAAACCCAGGGTTGTGAGTTCAATCCTTGAGGGGGCCACTTGGGGATCTGGGGCAAAATCAGTACTTGGTCCTGCTAAGGAAGGCAGGGGGCTGGACTCGATGACCTTTCAAGGTCCCTTCCAGTTCTAGGAGATGGGATATCTCCATTATTAATTAATTAATTAATAAAAAAAACTTCTGAGAGGAAGCATGGTGCAGTGGGTAGGACAGTTGCTTGGGACTTGGGAGGATCCAGAATCAATTCTGTGCTCCAGCACAATGACTTTTAAGGCAAGTCACTTTTGTATCTCAATTTTCTCTCTGTAAAACCTCCTGGGGTGTTGCAGGAATAAATACATTTTGTGAGGTACTTGCGCATTGTGTTAATGAGGGCCAGAGAAATAAGTGGGATAAACATTTTAAAATACATTACATTCTGGATGTGACTTTGTTTCAGAAATGGGGCAACAAATTCCTTTTTCCTTGTGTATTACAGAGAACTGTTTGAAAAACTGTGGAAACATTTTCATAATTTTTTTTTCTGTATTCCAAAAACGAGATGTTTGGTGCAACTCCCCATACATCATGGATGAATCTGGCATATGAATTACCTGTCTCTCCCCTGATGTAGGACTGTGTGGAGAAATTCACACACAACGGATTTAAATCAAGGCCCTTATTTTAGGGCTAAATCTTCCAAAGTGGTCGCAAATTTCAGAGAGGCTGACCATCCATAATTCCAGTTGACCCCAAACAGGAATGTTGCTCAGTGGGGGAATTTACTGGGGTTTGGCCCATTGAGAGCATCTATGTCTGGGATTATAAAATTGATACTTATAGTGGCTGCTGCTTCTCAGAGTCATTCTGATAATCATGCGTCTGTATATTATGATTATTATTTATGTTACAGTAGCACTTAGAAGCCCTATTGGGCTGTGAACTGCATATACACCTAGCAGGAGTCACTCCTTGGCCCAAAGAGCTTACAGCCAAATACACAAGACAGAGAAAAGAGGGGAGAGGAAAGAAAGGCACAGAGAGAGACAAGAAAGAACTGATTCAACCCAAATGACACAATGGCTCTGTGGTAGACTCAAGAACTGAGCCATTTCTCCTGAATCCCAGTACAATGCTTAGTCCACTGGGCCACACCATTTCTTTTAATCAACATAACAAAGTGCACGTACATATAGTAATAGAAGTTCCTGCCACAACAAGCGTAAGGCCAGATTTTTAAAAGCCTAATGGAATTTTCAAACGTATCTAGGGGCCTAAAACTCACTGCCTTTAATGGATGTGAAGTGCCTAATTGCCTAAATACCTTTAAAATCAGGGCCTTAGCTTGTAAATAGACAAGACAGACCAAAGGTGAGCAAGGAAATGATTCATAGATTCTAGGACTGGAAGGGACCTTGAGAGGTCATCGAGTCCAGTCCCCTGCCCTCGTGGCAGGACCAAATACTGTCTAGAACATCCCTCATAGACATTTATCTAACCTACTCTTAAATAACTCCAGAGATGGTGGTTCCACCACC